ACAGTGTTGCATATATGCTGAAAAGTGAAAAAAAAAACAGCATAACTACTAAAATAGTGGCCCGATCATGCCGATTTTCGAACTTGATCTGCGTTTTAGTAAGATTGATTACTCCTGTGAGTTTCATGACAACAGGCCTATCGGTTTTCCTTGAAATGTGTTAACAGTGTTGCACATATGCTAAAAAGTGAAAAAACAGCATAAATTCTACAATAATGGCCCGATCATGCTAATTTTCGAACTTGACCTGCGTTTTATGAATATTAGTCAGCTCTGTAAATATAAAGCCAAAAAGTAAAACTGTCTTCCACTTATGGTGTTAACGCTGAAAGTGCACGGCGACGGCGACGGCGACGGCGACATGATCGGCGACGGCGACGACAGACGCAGGTGATGGCAATATGTACAGACACATCTGTGTCTGTACATAAAAAAATAATAATAATAATAATAAACATAGTAATATGACATCAATGTATGATATGATTTAGTCTGTCACAGGTATTATAACACTGCACAGGTGGAGGCATCAGTTGCTATACCTCCTGGTCTTACACAGTTGCAACAATATGCAATCATGCCTTATCAAAGGAGGATTTTCAAGTTTTCAAGTTATTAAACACCAAGATCTCATTATCACTGTAAGCTATACCTTCGGTTGTTGCTTGGGCTGCTGCTCCTTCTTTTCTTTTTTACCTCCTTTATCTTTGCCTCCTCCAGAGAGTTCTGCAAACTTTTTAGCTGGAAACAGAAATGCCAAACAGATAATAATAATTCTGGCCCACAAATACTTTTGTTTTTTAACTTTTTTAAACGGTTCTGTAAAACCTACAAATGCTCACAATGTTTTTTTTGTTTTTTTTTTAAATTGCAAAAACAACTCTTCAAAATGTAAGACAAATTTTCTTACCATCAAACTGTGCCATTTTCTCACACAATACAACAGAACCGAGAACTGCTTTAAATTCTGGCTGGTTAACTAGAGTGGTAAACCAACGATTTGTATTCTGGTATGGTTGGCGGAAAGCTGGATCAAGAACCTGCAATTAAGTAAGTGAACTTCTACAATAAAATAGAAGCATTTATGGTTTTCAGATAATGTACTCAGGAAAAGATAAATCTTCATTTCTATCCAAAGGTTTACAGACCATTACGTAAGTCAATGTGCTAGAAGCATATGAATGGCATTTTAAATTATAAAATTATAGAAGTTTGAGTTGAGTCTGTCTCATGTAATTTAAGACTGTTGATGGGGATACAGATTATGCAACCCCAGATCTTGTATAACGAGATGGGGATTATTCAACATGAAGGCAAATGTGTCAATATTAGGCCTTTTTTGTGTTTGGTTTCTAAAAGCAAATCAGCTTTTCAAACTAGATCAATGAAGTGTTAAAGGAAAGTTTTGTTATCATAATTATTATTTGGTATATTCTTTTTAGCAAGACCCAAATAATTTTTATATCTTATTTAGCTTCATGTTCAGTTTTGTTACAACTGTTACCTACCATTACTTACCATCTTGTACAGCATAAGCAAATCGCAAGCAACAACTATATCTGCCAGAGAGACTCTCTCTCCCACAAGGAACGTCCTGGTTCTTAGAACAGTGTTGAGAACACCCAGTGCCTTCTTGATATCTTCCTTGGCTCTCTCGGTGTTCTGAATAATAAAGTGATCAATCAAAATTGGTTACACAAACCATTATGAGAATAAATAGCATTACTCAGACCCCACAGTGATGAAACATCAGGCACCAAAACTTCAACTACTAAATCATAGATACATTGTTTAAGTAGTTTGTCAGACATGATTTAGTCCGTCACAGGTACAACAGCCCTGCACAGGTGGAGCATGTTATGTGTTTATGTACCTCCTGGTCTTACACAGATGCAATAGAGTGCACACATGCCTTTACAAAGGAGGATAACATAATGATAATTTAAATTTTCCTTAACTAAGAGAGAAAAGAGGCACGAAACATCACTTGCTTGTGAAATATGTAACAGGCTTGTTTTACATGTATATTAACTTGAATCGATTTTTTTTTTCTTGTAAACTTTTGGTATTCAGGAATGGCATGCTTACTATCAAATCATACCAGTGTGCGTTTTCGTTTACACTTCAGGGCTAGACACTAACTTTTATGAGCACTTGTCCTTCGGACAGGTGGTCACAAATTTGACCTGTCCGATTTTCAAACCAACCTGTCCAACAAAACCAATATTTTTTTTCCTATTCATACCCAGAACTTTGTAAATTAATATGTGTAGTCATACATTGAATATATTTATTACCGAAATACTCAATCAAATGAGCTGGGAAAATGCACCTTAAAGTGAATTTATTTTCAGGTAAAAAGTTGTTTTTTCATACTTGTGAACTCCTGAAGATTAAATCTTGCATAAAAGGCTGTATTCCCAGAGCTTTTAGATCGATCTATCCCCGCGGGGAGTCTCACTAGATTACTGTCAGATAATCCGGCTTAAATGTCCGTCCCACCTACTACAAGCTGTAAGGGGGTAATTAACTTTCGTGTCCGCTCGGCTGACAGCTATTTTGCGTGAACCCCCAGGGAGTTAGGTTGATCTAAAGTAGATCGATCTAATCTCTGGAAATGGGGTCTAAGTCTGATTTAACATAGTTCCAATCAGGGCTTCTCCTAGGATTTGGGGTACAGGGTCTACTAATTGTAAAT